TATTTTAGCGATGCTTATGCGGTAATGTCACTTCTTCCCTTCTTTGGAGTTGGCTCTCAATTGGCTTAGGTTACGACGGGCGGTGCTCCATCCACACCTCGTTCTCTCAGCCGACGACGAGCGCACTCTCCCTGACAGTGATGGATCTCTGAACGTCAATGAGATGATTGAGCGGTTTGCCAACGACGACGACGAAGAGGGCTCTTCAAATGGCAACGTCTTTGCGCAAAAGGCGCTCGAGAATCTGGATCTCGACGAGGCGGATTCAGAGTGCCCGATTTGCACAGATGTCATGGCGTCACCGATGCTAGTACCCGAGTGTATGCATCGCTTGTACGTGCTCCTTATCCGCCCGGTTACGATTCTGACTTTTGCCCAGCTGCAAGGACTGTCTTGTCTCGCATATAGGCAATTGCGAAGAAAAGGGTGTCGAGGCGTTTTGTCCAAATTGCAGTCGCGGGCCCATCAAGGTTAGTCTTTCTCTGCCATCCGGTGCAATTCTAAAACTTGAATACAGGAAAGCGACCTAATTGAAGTCTTCCAACCGCCACCAACAAGCTCGCAAGAGCCAAAGCCGACCGTGGTTCTGAGAAAGAACGACTTCCGTTCATCCACCAAGCTCGATGCGTTGGTCAGGAACCTACGTTAGTCCTGGCTCTTGGTCTGCGATATCAATGACTAAATGCTGGCAAACAGGTCAACTTCGTGAACAAGACCCGTGCTTCCGCGTTGTCGTTTTCTCACAATTCACGTCCTTCCTTGACCTCATCCAAATCGTGCTGAAACGCGAGAGGTTTGAGAATTACCGTTTTGATGGGTCGATGGACGTTAAGAAACGTGGGGCTGCGTTGGACGAGTTTAGAGAGCCGACGAGGAGGCCGAAGGTGCTTGTTGTGAGTTTGAAAGCGGGTGGAGTGGGGTTGAATGTAAGCTGTTGTTTCCCTTTGTCTTGAGAGGGTTTGCTAACGTGTATTGCTCTAGCTGACGACGGCGAATCATGTTTTCATGGTATGTTAAGCTCGAAAGTCGGTCAGCCTAGGTTTATTGACCACGGAAAGATGGACTGCTGGTGGAACGCTGCAACAGAGAGTCAAGGCACGTAATTCATTCCTTTAAGATATTCCCATCTCTTACCTCCCCCAAAGCCGTCGACCGCGTCCATCGAATCGGGCAAGACAAGACCGTTTATGTGAAGCACTTTATTGTGCGCCAAGTTCTTCTTCTTCTTTCTCATATGCTCAATGCTGCTTCAGGTGTCCAACACGATCGAGGGTCGTATTCTGCGGATTCAAAAACGCAAGACGGCCATCGTGAAGGAGGCGTTCCGGGGCAGCGGCAAAAAGGATACTGACCCGGAGAGTATCGAGAATCTGAAAATCATGTTTGGGGAGGACGATTGATTTTTTTGTTTGTTTTGCTTCTGTCGAGTAGAGTACTTTTGGGGAGACTCGTACTTACCTGGAACGGAATTCGAGTAGCAAAACGAGAGGCTGATGTCAGGTTGCCAAACAACGCGTCTTCGCTAAGGCCAAACAAACTCCTTTCTTTCTGCGTTCAAGATGTCCAAGGCAAATCCTCTCAGCGGTTACCCAGCCTCATCTGACCTCTCCGAGAAGCGAGGCTATTACTTATTACTCGTCCGAGTTCGACAAAGCAAAGTGGACGGTCGAGCAACTGGAGGAAGTGAAAAATCTCAAGGTTCAAGCGCTTGAGGCTCATCCTTTCGAGTGCGTCGCGTCTTCAGCTATAAGAGAAGAAACCACATTCCTTTGCAGTATCTTCCAGCTTAAACCGATGTTTGAACTGTGCCAATCCTTTTCGACGACGACGTTCCGCGACTGGGACAACATCGAGACTGCGCTTAGGGGAGGATCGGACAACGAGCTACTCGGGGTGATGGCTGCGACCGACGCGTTTTCAAAGGAGCTGACCAGGGTATGTTCCGCCTTGGATTTCCAGCAGGCCATACAACGAATTGATTTCGTTCAAGATGTACGGAATATTCAGCAGACGCCAAATTCTCCGCCACATCCAAGTTTATCTGTTCGTCTTTCTGTTTTTCGCAGTTCCTACGTGCGTCGCATGCGGTTGGTTACCTCAAGGCTGGACCGCCTTTTGCTGTCTCTTGGTAATCTTCTTCGAGTTGTTCCTCTGTCAGTCCCTCCGAGTCCCTCAAGGCGTGCGTTCTGAACCTGGCTCCAGTGATATGCGCTCCCGGCTGGAAGGTGATCGACACCGTGGACGACAAGGTCAAGCACCTCCAGGGATGCCTCTGTCGCCTCAAAGAGACCCACATCAAGCTCAAGGAGTCGGTGAACGAGGGAGACGCCCACACTATTGACACTATACTTGAGGTAAGAGGTCGCTCTTGGTCAGGAATCGCTTAACACTGACCCTGGTGATTTCGGTAGAAGGAAGGCCACAGGAAGTTCTCGCAATTGAGCGTAAAGTTCCGACCACAGGTGAATGGTGCTTGATAATTCTGTGTGCATGTAGTATTATCCGTGTAATATCTTGTAGCTCAATCAAGTAAATGTTGTTTTATTTGAGCATGCCAATATGATTGTGGAGGGAAAAGATGACACGAAGGCTCACAAAAGTCGATCTCGGCAACCTCCTCGTTATTCCTGCACTCCGTGCTCAGCCAGCCGACACTCATTTATCAATTGAGTGGTGTCATAATCGCTCGGCCCTCCTCCACCCCCATCCCACCGCCGGGCGAAATGCATATCCTCGCGATATTGCGCCAGCCCCCATTCGTGCCAAATCAGAGCGGCGAGCGCTACATTGAGGTTGGCATGCGGCAAATCTGCGGCACGCCCGTCCGCCTCGATAAGCAGAATGGCCTTTTCCAGCTCCTCGTAAAGGTCCTTGAGAACGGCCGCTTGACTATGTGCTGAGACACGCAAGGAGGGAAGCACGGAGAGTACTTTGTTACGGTGAGTAGGATAGCGATCGTTGGCGACGGATAAGCCTGAGAACAGGTGCTCAAGACGTTCGAGAGGGCGCAGCGGGAGGTACTCCAAGAGGTCGGCGGCAGCATGGTCCCAGCGTTCCGTGACTAGAACAATGTGCTCTGCCACGCACTTGCACGCATTAACCGCATCATAACTTGTTGCGCTTTCCGAGTTGGCGCGGAGGGCCAGGAAATACTTTGCGCACGCAAAGTGAACAGTGTCCATCGCGGCCAGCAGATTCAGGTAAGTCCAGTGGAGCTTGTCGACGGCGCATAGGTCTGGGGCATGACCACCAGCCCTCCAGATCCAAGAAATACGGGGGCGGATCTCCCGTATCACGTAGAACAAGTCGGAAAGGGCGAGCATAGTTGTGGATGTTATCCTGTCGAGACATTGCCAAAATTCATCCATGGACTTGGTCTACAAAATCTTGAGTGGAGTAATAGAGGGGACGGGGAAGAGGCATACGAGAGGCGGCGGATCTTTCGGTGCAAACGATTTGAAGTTTCGTTGGTGGCCATCTGGAGGCCGTGGAGCTTTGTAGAGAGGCAGGTACTGATACACGGCGGGGTCCCGTTCGTTAGGAGCGTCCAAGTTGGGAGTGTTCATATCAGGTGAAGGCAACGAAATAGGAGCTTGAGGGTTTCAACCCATCATTCTATTACAGAGCCGCAGTCATCACAAGTCCTTCTTGTCGCCGTTCAAGATGTCCAAGGTCACCCGAACTCATCGGTAGAACGAAGGCCACAGGAAGCTCTCGCAATTGAGCGTCAAATACCGACCCCAACTTGAAGTGAATATTCGTGGCGTTTGATAATTCGGCCGCGTCGGTGATGTTGTAGGTAGGATTGTCTTGTATGTAGCTCAATAGTAAAGTGAATGTGTATCCGAGCATGCCAACTTAGACTCCCTGCTCGAATCTAAGCTTCATCTTTCTCTAGCCCATAGTATATCCAGTCTGAGGTTGTGCGTCCGCTGGACTGGGAACCTCGCAGTCTGAATCTCCACGGCTGGGCCCCGTGCACATTGCGGAGATATTGGTCCAGTCCCTTTTCATGCCAAATCAGCGCGGCGAGCGCGACGTTGAGGTTAGTAAGCGGTATATCTGCGGCACGCCGCGTGGCATCAATATCCAAAATGTGATCCCCCAGGTCCGTGTAAAGCTCGTTGAGAATGGCGGCTTCACCCTGTGCTGAGATGCGCCAGGAGTCAATTTCGGAGAGTACCTTGCGACGGTGAATGACATTGAGATCAGAGGACCACGGGAGGCGTTCGACAGAACTCAGCGGGAGCCACTTGGCCAGGTAGACGGCAGTTTTGTCCCAGCGTATCATGACCTCAAGAATACACTCGGCCACGCGATGGCAGGCAGCGCGAATGTCGTGTAACGCCATGACCGCATCGGCATCGGGTGTTGAGCGTTTGCGGATGGCTACGAAATACGTTGCGAAGGCAAATTGGACAGCGTGCATTGCTTCCAGCAGATTCAAGTAAGTCTTGTGAAGCTGGCCGACGGCGCGCATGTCTGGGCAGCTGGGATCCACGAAAACCCAGTAACATGGAGGGCGAATGTCGCGACACAAGGAGAATAGGTCGCCGAGCGCGGTCCGAGTGTGGAGTGTTATCCTGTCGAGACACTGCAAAAATCGGTCGATAGTCTTGGTCTAAGAATTCTTCAGTGAGATAGAAGGGATAAGTATATAGACATACGAGAGGCGGCGGTTTTCTCGGGGCAAACGATTTGAAGTCTCGGAGTGGGCAAACCTCAGGGTCCCACTGTAGGCGTCCCAAGTTGTCGAACGGTGGATGTTCGTAAGAAACCCTAGGTACATAGCCATGTATAGCCCAGTCCAGCATTGGTAGTAGAACACTTGGGTAGTAAGTGTGAAACAAGAGCAAAGGGGCTGAAGTGTTTGCGTTTCTTTGCGTGGCGTCGTCAGTGAACTGGGCCTTCGTTTTGAACCCTCAAAAATGCGACAGCGTTGTTGATAAGAACCTGGCCGAGTGAATCTGGGGAAAGTAAAAGGAAAGAAGCAAAACATCTGATTGGAGTGGGATTCGAACCCACGCCCTTTCGGACCAGATGCCTCAGAAGAGGCAATATTGCTTCACAAGGAAGCGGATCCTTAGTCTGGCGCCTTAGACCGCTCGGCCATCCAACCACGATGGCAGCCACGCTCTGCTTCTGGCCCGGTCGGCCATTTTCTCTCTCTCTCTCTCTTCACAAACTGAAGCGCCCCGATTCGGATTGCCGTTCTCTTTTTCCCTCCACCTCGGTCCCAGAAAATGACCACCGAAACCACGAATCTCAAAGCCAAACTGGCCACCCTGACCAACTCCATCGGCTCTCTCGAATCCGTTTTAGAGCCGCTCCTCGCGCAAACTCTGCCAGAAACCACCGTCGGGCTCACTCCAATAGAACAGGCGAAGCTGCAGACGCTTATACCGTATCTCGTCTATGATTTGGTTTTCAGTGCGTTTTCGTCTTCTTGGCTCCTACTTGAGAAAGTTAATTTGTGGCCCAGTCTACTTGAAATCGAAGGGCATCGACCCGAAAACTCATCCAGTCGTCGGGGAGCTGGTGCGTCACTTTCTTACGCGTCCACACCCTCCTTAATTCTCTTGCAGTCTCGTGTGAAGCGTTACTTTGACAAAATAACCGCCGCGGAGACGCCCGAAGCGCGTACGTCCCTCTTCCCCTCCCAAGAACTGAAATGGTCTCTAACACGGTATATATATCTCCAGCCCGAGCACCTCTAGATAAAGCCGCCGCTACGCGCTTCATCAAGCACGCTATAACGCAATCCAAGTTGGGCGAATCCTCCTCCGCTGCTGCTGCTACACCCGAACCGAGCACATTCGTCGCACCAAAAGTGACCTCCAAGATGATCGCGCGCGCTGAGCACGAAGCCGAGCTTCGTGCGCGTGGAGATGCCAGCTCGTCCGATGAGGAGCTAGAGGTTATTGATGGTGAGGAGAAGGAGGAGGAGGAGGTTAGCAGCCGCAAGAGCAAGTCCGCGAAAGGCAAAGGGAAGGCAAAGGAGGTTGAGGTGAAGGAACCAGAGGCCGAGGTGCTTACGGGCACCAAGCGACGCAGACCTGCCATTGATCCTTTTGCTGGTACGTTACCCCCACTTTTTCAGCCACTTTTCTTGACGAGAATACAGGATATGGAGACGAAGAAGAATCTCGGTCAACCCCTGCGGAAGGGACAGGAGAGGAGGATGATCCGGACAAGAAGAAGCGTCGGAAGAAGGAGAAGAAGAAAGAATCCAAGGCGACGTCGAAGGATGACAGCCCCGCAAAAACACCCAAGAAGAAAAAGGCCAAAAAGTAGCTTAGACTACTGATGTGCATTTCTGCTAGGTCTCATCTCTTGCGACGCTGCAGCCACGGTCATCCCGCTCCTCCCGCTTCGCGATTTTAGGTCACGGCGAAGAAAAAAAAGCATGTCTTCATTGGTAAATACAAAAGTTGTACACCAGTTACTGCTTGAATCGAGTGCGAGGTATAAATCGAAAATCGTCGAGCCACGAAGGATCTCTCCTGCCGCAGTACTTTAACAAAAGATCCGACTCTGTTGACGCAAGACGTTTCCGGAACGGTGTGGAACTCAGCACTTTGATGTTCATCGCAGGCCTGTCCACGGTCCACCTGTTCGCAATGACCATACATACTCGATAGCGCATCACAGCCGTGTCAAGGTGAATCAGCCCAACAAGGATGATCTCAATGTCGGATTCTGACCCAAGCGGCTCGCGTCCCGCTCGCCTGTGGCGTTCGCCCCGGCTCAGAACCTTCTCCATATTCTCGTAAGCCAAAATCAGCTCGGCAAGCCCGGCCGTGGACTGCTGCATTGTCTGCGGGAGCGCTTCGAGTAGGTCGGGGAGGTCGAATCTGGTTGCATTGCGAGAGTCGACCCACTGGATGATGGAAACCACTGCAGGGTGAATGCAGTAAGGATTTATGGCAACACGCAAAGCGTCAGTGGTAGCTTTCCACTGGGCCTCTATTACCTCTGCATGGCGAACGGTCATCTCCTGCACGCAGCGACTGAAAGCCACAAGGACCCCGTCAATGGCCTCGTCAATCTTCAAAAGGGGTACAGATGCCCGACACATGTTTCGGCGAAGCAAGAGGTATTCGGCGCAGACTGCGTGAGCCTTGATCGCGGTGGCCCCGAAAGCGATGTAGGCGTCATAGAGTGGGTTCAGAGTGTCGATGAATTGGCCGCGTTGAGAGAACAATTGGACGTCGTCCCGAGCGACACGATTAGAGAGATCGACCAAGTGAACAAAAGCTTCGCGACCCGTAGAAGCCACTTGGTCGAATTCGAGGAGTAGTGCATTGAGCGATGGGACCTGACACAAAGAATAAGGCAAGGGCTGACGAAGAGAAGGCAGTACATACGCTAGTCTCGTGCGGCTCACAAGTGCCGTAGGAGTCAAGGTAGTGGGGTATCCCGACACGAAGAGCGTAGTTTTGAGCATCCTCGACTCGGAGTTCGTCCGGCATTATGGTGGCGCAGATGTTTTCCGACCATTTAGAGGGGCTCCGAATATAGTCCCGTCCTTTTGCCCCTATGGCCGCACCTTCTCTCGTCCTAGTGGATGTGCTTCTCGCACTCGAACATCGGAAGGAGAAGAAGAAATAATCCAAAGTAACATCGAGGGATGACAGCCCCGCAAAAACACCCAAGAAGAAAAAGGCCAAAAAAGTAGTTTGGATTTTCTCTACTCGTGCATTCTATTCAGTCTAAGCCTTGGCCTTTGTGCCAATGGCCTGCTGCACGGCATCAAGCACCGCAGCATGCACCTCTTTCCCAGTCGCGATCACCCCAAAGTTCTCGCCCAAAGTCCTCCCTAGACCGAAATCGAGCGGCTGGCCACGCGAGTCGGTGACTACCCCACCCGCCTCTGTAACGAGGAGGTTTCCAGATGCGTGGTCCTATATTCCCAGTCAGTTCAAGGCAACGAAAGTAAGAGCACGCGACAGACCCAAATCTTTTCACGATAACCGACACCGGTGGGCATGCGGAGGTACATACCACCATCACCACGCGCGAGGCAGCCGTATTTGGCCTGGCTGTCCATACGCACTGATGGGCGGGTGATGCCGAGGATGGTGGTGATGGTGTCTGTGGTCGAGTGCGACGAGTGGGCGGCCTCGACGGATTCGAGGGATGTAAGGGCAGATGGGGTGAGTTTGGGCATGGTGATGGTGGTTTCAGTGAAGCCGCTAAGTGGGATCTGGGACCGTTGAGCTCCCAAGTCGAAAGACACAGTAAAAATGGCACCTGCTGGGTCCCCTGCCCTTTTACTGCAACGAAAATGCAGCCACGCTCGCCATCCGGGTTTGTTGGGTCAACGGGGAGGTTGGGGCAGCCAATGATACCGACCTGGACCTGCGCATCGACTAGAAGAGCGAGGCAGACGGCGAACTGTTCGCCGCGAAGGAAACCTTTGGTTCCGTCAATGGGGTCGATGGTCCACATCCCTACCAACTATGAAAAAAATGCGCGTATGAGGGACGAAAGAACCTACTTCCGGTGCGTCCGCCGTCGTAGTTGCCTCGATCAATAGCATCCAAGAGCTCAGCGGTAGTCTTCTCTTGTCCGGGACCAATACACCACTCCGCTTTATCGCCCTCGACGAGTGGCGCGACGAGAGCCTCGTTTGCGAGCTCGATAATCCGATCACGCAAAACCTTGCCTTCATCCGCGCGCAATTCCGCGGCATCTTCCTCACCGGCGATGGGGTCGGCTGGGAAAGCCTTGGTGAGCATCGTGCCGATGAGTGCCTGAGCAGCATAGTCGCCGACTAGACGGATGAATTCGATTTGATTTTGTTTCGAGTAGAGTGAATTCGAGTACCAGTGACGGGAGATTTGTCCCCTTTGGTTAGGGTTTCATTCTTGACGAGTTTATTGAAAACGGAGGAGGTCAGTGCACATGCACGGCGGACGGCGGAGAGGCCGAATTGGCGTTCAAGGGCATATGGTGCAGCGGACATGGTGGTAAATGATCGAAAGGCGGTAGGACGGAAATTCAAGGAAACTGCGCGCAAAAATAATATCATAAGACGCTGGACATTGGTCGTCGGGGTGTGGCAATTACAAGAGGGATTGCCGGCGTCGTCGTTGGCGGGAGAGGAAGCACCCGTCGGGTTGGCTCTGTTTGCTTCGGAAGCCCCAGCCAAACGCCTAGAAATAGCACGTCAAATTTTCCATGTTCTCACTCTTGCCACGATGTGCAAGACGAGGTGCCGTGGTCACCCAGCTTGCTCGTCGTTCTCTGGCCACTCCCGCACCCGCCAGCAAGGGCAAAAGCAAAGACGAGGATGACGAGGGCGAAGGCGAAGGCGAAGGCACCAGCACATTCAAAGCCTTCCTCCGCAACCACCAGTCGCTCAGAGTTGCCAAACCGCTGAACTACATTGAGGAATCCCCAGTGGTATGTGCCCAATACACATCTCTCGTCGTCCATCACCGCCAACCTCCTGCTTCAGCCGTTCAGTTGAACGAGTCCTTCAAACCTCCACCACCCATCTCGGACAATACACGAACGCAGATCTGGACGACTACATGGCGGACCCGGAGAGTATAACGTCCGCGCGCTTTCCTCGGTCGTACCACCTCAGCTTGAAGCGTGTCGAAGCTATCCTTCGCCTCAGGGTCTCGAGGCTGCATTCATAAAGGTTCGTTGTCGCGCCGGGGGCTACATGCATGATGTTTCAAACGATTATTCTTGAAGACACCTACATGGTTTCATCAACTTTTTTATTTCGTATGCTGATCCCTCGTTTATGCCGTGACATCGAATGCTCATTATTTTACAGGTATTCCTTCCCGTTTGACCTACCTCTACTCTCACTCAAAAGCACACCTCGTCGTCTAGGATGTGAGTTGGTTTCCCTTCTCTTGTTGCTGATGATACAATACTTCATTCGCGATATTCTAAGACCATTCCGGTGCCCTTACCATCACCGGAAATCTGGTTAAATC